TGTTTTGTGTTATATATATATATATATATATATATATATATATATATATATATATATATATATATATATATTTTTTTTTTAATCTATCATAGATGACCTTTCAGAACTATGCCTTTCTTGTGGAGACAGATACAAACAGATGACCAACTGATCAATGGGTAAGAGCATAATATACAATGTAAACATAAGTATAATTTCTCCAGTAACATGTCCTAACTGCATTGTTGTACTTTGTCAGATTGAATGCTCAGAATGTGGAAGGTGGTACTATTAGGGCTGTGTGGGCAGACCTTAAACAGCTGGCACATACATATGCCCAGCATGCAGTTAAAATTTACACCACTGTTACAAATGCATAAATAATGTTTGGATTTAAACATAAATGTTGAATATTGATATTTGATTTGATTTAAAACATGAAAACCTACTTGAAATGTGAAATTAAAGCCGCCAGTAGGTGGGGGCAAGTCACTGTTAAATTGAAATGATATTGATTCATTCAGGAATGAAACATTTGACTTTTTTAATGAGTGAGTCGCTGAATCATTCATTCAAAAAACTGATTCATTCAATAAGGAAACACCAAAGCCACTAGAAGGCAAGTCTGCAACCTTTAGCCAAAAAGTGTAATGGCTAATGCTAACGCTTTCACTTTGGCAGTACGTGGGAAAGGAGACCAGAGGCCGTTTTTTTTCTTTTTTGAATTGATGTCAGTGGAGCAGAGGCTTCACTATGCTAAATAAACAGCATTTTAGAGGAAACAGCTTATCTTTTATTGAATCGACAGCCTATCGGCTAATCTTCAACATATTTTAAACTAAACAATACTTTTGCATTGAACTATTTTTAGAGTTTACATCGAAAATTTTTTTGTTTTGTAAGAGAAGTCACTGACAGGTGGGATTCAGCTTACGGCACTACTCATTCATTCCTATGGTACACGTAAACGGCGATTGATTGTCGCACTACTCTGAAATTCGATTACATCAAGGCTATAATGTGATTGGTTATTAAGGCACATGTGATCCAAGTTGACCGTTACGCTTTCTCCAATAGTAAGTAAAACAGACCCTCTTATCTCCCTATAGTAAGACAATTTCTGGCAAACACCGTCCTGTGTGTTGCTCAGCGGCGCCAAACAGTGCTGTTTACAACTATTTTCATTGGCGAAATACAGCAAAACCAGGCATCTAAAATCTAAATAACTTAATACTAACTTTATTAAACTTGGATAAAATTAATATTACATTTGTTAAAACAACACTTACAGTATTATCGCAGTTGATATACTGTAGCTATATCGCACACCCCAGCCTCGACTTAAGTGGAAAATGAAATCATCTGCGGTTGTTCGAGCACTTGTTTGCAAAAGTATTTTTTAGGAGTCTTAACTTGCAAGCGCTAGACCACTGATTCGTCAAACCTGCTTTCTTAGAGTCTGTGTTCTTCCGACTTTATTTTGTAGTAAGTAATGTTAATGAATATGCTTCGGGGGAAATGTATCATAGTAAAAGTATACATTTTAATAAGGAAATGTAGTGGAGTAAAAGTGAAAGTTGACAGAAATATGAAAACTCAAACAAAGTACAGATACTCCCAAATGTAATGAAGTATTTTTACTTTGTTACATTACACTACTGGCAGTGTGACACATACAAGACTTCACAAAGAATGATTGAATGAACCAGGCTATATATATATATAGGATGAGCAGACAGGGTTAATGAGACACAGGTGCAGTTCGAGAGTTTTTGACTGCAACAATAATAATTTCGCACGAATTTGGCTATATTCCCCAAGATCAGCTCTCACTGTCTTTGATCCCAGGCAAGTGATTTCGTCCAGGAATCGTAAAATCAAAATGCTCAAAAAATAAATAAAATAATGAAGTGCCTACCTACAGCATTCATAAAATCTAGCTCTTCCAACTTACACTCTGTGTGTGTGTGTGTGTGCGCATCCATGATGCCTAGTAACGAACATGCTGAAAGCGTGTGAGCGCGTGAACTGGTTGAAATGCGTGTCTCACGGTGAATGCGTGAGACTTTAGAGCCCTGATGTATGCATGTAACTGTAACAGTATGTATATATGCATTTATTTATTGATTGATTGATTTATTTGCTGCACCAAGCTGAAAGTTGGTAACAAGAACTGTGCGAAGAGTTTGGAAAAAGTCACCTAAGTATGAAGAAATTTGTTCTAGCAATTGTGGTAAAACTACTAAGACTAACTTAATTTATAATAATTACTTGTTTTATTCACATTATGTTTGAAAGACACGTCTCAGGTTGGTGTTCTGTAAACTTGTTATTCTTTTTGTAGACTTGCTTTTAGATGTTGACATGAAAATGTGTCCATTTCTCTGATCCAGAGCCACTGGTGATCAAAACGTAACTACAGTTCAAGAGCTTGTTGTTTATAGTATAAAGTAAAGGCAATTCCTTCATTCATGTTGTTACAAAACCTGTGTGACTTTCATTTTTCAGTGTAACACAAATTAAGTTTAGCAGACTGTTCATACTGCTCTTTTATATAATTTGACAGCATTTAGTGACCAGGCTCCGATCAATTACCGGTACAAATCATTTCAATAGGCTACACATGGGTGCTCTCAAGTAGATGCAAGACACTCTAAAACGATCAATAATGTATCCAATAAAGCAATTAATTTCATTTCTCACAGAGCCTTCTTGTGTGTGAATGGTTCACATTATTAAAACTGCCAATAATATGATCCTGTGCTGTATCTTTCATTTTCAAATGTACATCAATACCCTACTTTTACAGTTTCATTACTGTATATGACTGCTTTCACATTATTGTCCTGGGTAATATATTTTAATTGTATTATTTTCTTGGTTAATCAAGAAAGGGAGAACTGATCAACCTAATGCAGAATGCTTTATTTCAACCTATTTATTATCTGAAACAACATGACTGTCTGCACTTTAACAGAAATATTTAAAGCTTTTCAAAGGCGTTATCAGCATCTTATCCCAGTCTGCTGTCAGATGGCTGTCAATGAGCTCTTATGTCAGAAGTGGGCTGCTGATAGGACCAACAGAGTGCGAAGTAATGTCTGCAATAAAGAGGATGATGGGAGGATGAAGGCGGCCATCAGATAATTGCATCATACACGTTTGGTTGTTGAGGGTTTCCCCAAAGGGATGGCTTACCCATGATTCTTTCTGACAATTTGGTCTGACTCAGTACTGCAGAGCCTCACAGAACTGAAGGTATAAATGAAATGCAATCTGATCTATAATCAGCCAGTCAAAGCTGATTAAAAGGGTACTGCTTAACCTAATTTGACTCATGTAAATAATGATTCAAATAAATTCTGAAATATTGAACTGGAGTTGAATAATACTGCAATGATTATTCAATAATGTAAGATTGTAATGTAACAATTCTACAATCCTGTCAGCCTGTTGACTGCTGCTAAACCTCAATTCCAAACCACAGACCACCAATTCAAAAATTCATGTTCAAATTCACCCAGAAATGAAAATTCTGTAATTTTTACTCACCAAACAGTTGCTGGTCCCAAATTACTTCCATAGTATTCAAAAATAAAAAAAATACAAAGAAATAAATGAAAAATACTATGCAAGTCAACTGGGACCAAAAATAATTTGGTTACCCACATTCTTCAAAATAATTTATTTTGTGTTCAGCAGAAGAAAGAAATGCATACAGGTTTAGAACAACTTGAGGGTGTATAAATGATGACAGATTAGTCATTTCTGGGTGAACTATCCCTTTAATGCTTCAGTGCACACAATCATATATTTATCAAATCAACCAGCAAGTACACATAAACACCCACTGACATATAAATACATTCTTAGATTCACAAACTGCAAGGGAAAAAATCTAAAAAATTTTAAGACTGCATAAGCCAACCTTTTTTTTCTACATTTTTATAGCATTGCTCACTACATTGCATTGTTGGAGTATGTGTGTTATTTTCAAAATCTCCAAGACGAGTTCACATACTCTGTATATGTTTAAACTCCAGGTCATAAGTATGGTTAATATCTGAGAAAAGGTGTCTATTGTAGTGGACAAAAAATGTAATGTTTACATGACTTTACAAACATTTGACATATTAAATAAATATCATTCAGAGTATATTTCAATGTACAGCAGCTTTATCCTCATAGTCTAATGCTCTTTTCACATAATTAAATGTTCTCTAATCCAAACCTGTTGCATTTTTTAATTAGAGTAATGAAATTAACGTTTGACTTCTACTCAGCCAACAGCAAGAAGGCTCGCAAAATAATGAAGAATCAATGAAGAGGAGATGGCCACAATATTGGAAGAATATTAAAATCAAACAGGAAAAAATAATAACTAATGCTTTTGTATTTGTAGGAAATAAAGATGACCAAATACATTTAACAGCTGTGGTGGTTGCGGCATATATATAGAACTACCCTTCCATCTGGCATCCTTCTATTCCATACAGTAATCAGCTTCCTTTCCGATGGGTTTGTGCACAGAAAACTACACAAAAATTATCATAAAGATCATGAGAGCAAGGCTTACTTTCCTTACCGCTCTGCATACAGTTGCCTTACTAATGTGCTCTGCATCCCTGATGTTACATAGAAAACTAACATTTAGAAATGGTACTGCTCAAAAAAATATGCATGTGAATATGGCAAACAAATCAAACTAATCCTCTCCCAATGTAAATGTAACTCCCTACAAATTAATGCAGCCTCCTAATCTTCAGGATTCTGTATAAAAGTACATGCCGTTTTTGTAACTTTCACAGTCTCTACATGATGAAAATATGTGCAGCAAATGAATATACCAGCACTGCAAAAAACATTTATCTTACTTTGTATTTATGTCTTCTTGTTTCTAGTCAAAATATCTAAAGATTCTTAAATCAAGATGCATTTTCTACATAAGAAAAATGACGAGGTATTTAGTCTTTTAAGTGTATTTTTCTTATTTTGCAAATTATCTGCCAATGGGGTAAGAAAAATAATCTTGTTTCCATTTTGCATTAAGATTTTTTTCTTGTTTTAAATAAAATGCACTTAATTTAGATTCCAAAATACTCACTAAGAAAAGCATTTTTGCAGTGTGAATGAATGAGGTATTTAAACATCGCTTACACTTTAAAAAAGGGGGAGGAAACTGAAAGAAACTCTGGGTTTAACAAAGAAAACCTGCTCCCAACCAGGTTAGGTTCACAGAGTTAATTACCATGGTAAGTGACTCTGAGTATAAGTTACTTCTCTTTCAGAAACGGGCTTGACTTATCCTGCTTTCTCAGGTTTGAC